AAAGACATATTCAGCGAAGAGACTCTTTACAACGAATTTATCATCATGCCGTACAGTCAATCGTATATATATATATATGGTTTCTTATATTTACATATATTTATATTTAAACATAGGTGTGAATGCATAAAATAATCATAGTAATGATATTAGTAGTAGTAGTAGTATGAAATGCAATTAGAATATTTGTGATTATAATCATAGTTGAATATCAAGTGTCAAGTAGCAAAACAATCAATATCATATATAGAATAATTCATTGGATGTATAGATGTTAGAAGGGGATGTGAAACTATAAGGTTGGTAGGCTAATATTAAAACGTTGCGTGACAAAGTGTGAAATTTGATAAGCTAGAATTCAACATTAGGAAAAAACTTTTTGATTTAGAATGACAAGTGGAAGCAGTTCAAATTGAGAATACTACTACTAATATAATTGTAATACAAATAATAATAATAATAATCGTAGTAGTGAGGGGAAGGTACGTAGAATAAATAAATAAACAAATAGTAATAATAAAAATAAATAAATGTTAAGCACTGTTGAGATGGAAATTTTGAATGTAAGTTAAGAAATTTGAATTATTCGATACAATTGTAAATGTTTATCGAGAGAAGTCGTAAAGACAGTTTTATATAAAGTTTCTAACTGGTTTATGTGACATCATCTAAAGATGTTAGCAGTTTTACCATTTCAAGTATTCAATGGAATATCCTATAGTTGATCACATTAATGTAGTTAGAAATGCTCACTTGTTTTGTAATAGTCCTCTTTCACCTTTTTTACCTAGTCTTATATTTGATTTATTTATGTGATTTTTGAGAATTGTTACCATTGGTTGGTGAATTGATGCGCTTTTCTGTGCATAATCCTATAATTATGTAATCTATCTCTCTATGTACCTATTTCAACATTGTAAAATAAACGTGGTTTCATTTCATAAAACTTTAAATTACAAACATAGAATTGCCAGCATACTTAGTGATTGGCTATACATCAATACGTACACGTACGATTAGATTTGTTGTACTATGAAATTACTATTACTATTTGTTTTGTTGTTGTTATGACTACTTGTTCAATATGCACGAAAGACTGGCATCATATTTCAACTAGTTCGAACTAGCATAGTAAAATATTTTGAATTTTTTGTCTTCACTCTTTTCTCTGAAACTGAATCACTTATGATATAAGAATATAGACCTTGGGCACTGTGGTAGAGGATAATCCCACCAAAGAGTAGATTTATTTGATAAAGTCTCACAGTGTTATACAGTATTATTTATTTACTGATGATGTTTTTGAGCACTGTTTATTGCTCATAATTATTTCAGGACATTCACACAACTTTCCAACTTAGTTTAAATACATAAGTAACAAAGTTATACTTCTGTTTCATACGCATCGGTGTATTCCATCCATTCTTTCATTTGCTTCCCAAGCGGGGAACATAGGGCTTCAACCTTGAGCTTTGAAGTTCCACTGGTGGTAGTGTGATATATTTTGTAATTGCATCTTTCAACGACAGAATTCCAGGGAATCAGAGAATAACACAGAGATGGCAGAAGTCAGGAATTAGTATCTGGCAGAATTATTTGTATTGTGTGAATACAATAAATATTAACAAAGAACAATGACTAGTTATGCAATACTGTAATACATCCGTCACATGTCAAATATCTTCTTGCATGTCTTTAAAATGAGCTCTGGGTTTGCTTGTTAGTCTGTCAGAACTTCCAACTGATCATGTGCTATTATTCCATTGTAATCATTTGAATTTACTCCTGAAATATCTACAAAGTGGGATTAGTAGTGGAATCACTAAAATTATAGTTGGAAGGATCTACTTTATTTGTTTTCATCTGCGCCTGCTTTTGAGGACGCGTGCTCAAGTTGTCCTATTAACCTAAAGGCATAGAATTAAACTGTTTCGTTCACTTTTACTTTTCTTCTTGGATGGCTTATCAGATGACTCATTTAATCCGTAAGACAAACGTTTTGCGTCTAATGGTGAAAGTTGGCTATCTTTAGCAGCTTAGTGACTTCGTAAAATGTCAGCACTAACAGCATCGCTAATAACAAAGAAAGTCGGTCGGTCGGTCGGTTTTCGACATAGAACTTTGCACATATGTGCGGCAGTTCAAGTCGCCACAATCATCTGTGTAGCACGCAAAGCAAGAGAAGAAAGTAGAAGAAATGCATAATATAGACAGTAAACAGAGGTGTGAGACAAAGGAATAGTAATAACGGAGAACGAAACAGTTTAATTGGAAATCATAAGTCACAAGGAGTGGATGCATCTGCGCCACTGAGAACGATTTTGAGCCATGTCACCAATTGTTTCCAACCATTGGTTTTTACCATCCCGAGGACCCCAACCAAATAATAATAATATAATAATATTTATTTTTTTATTTTAGTGATAAATAACAAAGAAAGTACCTTGTAAAACTCATTGAAGCCTCAGAATCTGTCGCTTTAGAAGTAACGAGTCTATTAGATACAGTTTCTGAAGTTTTCTTTCTTGCTCATCTGTTAGTTTACCATTTGAACTGTTCTACCACAAGTAACCAACGTTTACGTCCTTCAGAAAGACTTTTCCCAGTTATTTGTAGTCTTGCACGATCCGCTTTAAGATTTCGAGTTAGCTGGTTTAACTTTACCTGTAGACTTTCAGATTCTTGTTGAGCTTGACTACTTTCTGGTCAATATGTTCTTTCAACAGCAATCAAATGTCAGATATGACTGCGTAATTGGACTTCTGAACTACGTTAAGACTGGATTTCTGATTTCAAAAGCTTAACTTCTGTCACTAGCTCTATAGTATGTTCATCCTTGTTAGAATTTTTCCGTTAGTTTTACGGCCAGTTGATGATGATGGATTTGCATTCGGTTTGTAATCTTCATACTTTGAAAATAATAAGACTGGTTCGCTTAACAAGAACTCGTTAAGTAACTCAGTGGGAAGCGATATTTGGACATTCAACGATCTAAGAGCCTTTAATCCCAATGAAGATGGACCATATTCACTTAAATGAGAGGGAATATTGACAAAACTATCACTGTCTGATTTCAAACCAACGTTAACAGTACTAATAAGAGGTGGTTTTTGACCAGTAATGACTGTAATTGAACTAGTAGTAGGCTCTACTTGGGCATGCCTACAAAGCGATAGTAAACTTTCCTTAGAAATTATAGACTAAATGCTTCCTGTATCAAATATAAAAGAGTGAGACTTGCCTGAACTTGTATTGAAGATTTTAAGTAGGTTAGAATGAGTGATGTGAAATACTAAAGGGGGGAAATAACTGCATTTTAACAGATAAATCAGGAGAATTATGTTAATTCTGAGTAGTGTAAGTATTTGTACTTTGACAAATGGACTTAATGTGCCCAGTCTAAATACATTTATGGCAGTTAGCATCCCGGAAATGACAAGTACTTCGTAGATGAATCTTTCCATACGAAAAACACAATTACATTCTTGCTGTTCGTCTGCTGTCTATCAAATGTGGATAACACTTTGGATTTCTGTTTATGAAAACCTGCATTATCAACTTGGGACATCATTACATCCGACGGTGGAGTATTGGGAGCTGAGTATTCACCGTTAACATGTTCATATGTCGTACATTTATCTTTAGCAGTCTGAAAGGCACATGAAGTTATCTGAACCGATTCTTTCTCTACCTTCGGAATGTTGATCCCAGGACAAATGAGTCAGCGAAGAGATCTCTTTTGCTAATGTTCGGAAGTGACGTCAATGTAAAGGAAACTTAGTACCACTTTTAAAAAGGTGTTGACTTTGGTAGTGTTGCAGTAGATTTAGTCTCATGCGCTTTCCACTCAAATCCATCAAACACTCCTTTAAAACGTTATGACTAATTAGTCATAGCCGTAATAATATGTCGTTTAATATGTTATGATATTTATTTGGATTGAGGAAAAACGATGTTTTCACTAGACTATTCTAATACAGCAATACTGTTTGTCCCCTTATAATTTTAATCCTATTTGAGTCACTTAGTAACATATCGTACTCTTGTTAATACGATTTAATGAAGGTCATAAGCTTCATTCAGTATTCAATCTTAAGTATATTAGCCGCACTTTATATATATATATATATAACTGTAGTACACTTTCACCTTATCTGCAAGTGGTAACTAAGTAATTTGCGGTTTATTATAGGAGGTCATAATCATGGCCTTGTAATTCATATTAAAATGTAGGATATGTAGGATAACAGTACTAGGCTGGGTTAGTTGGGTTAGTCCTATCCGATTTCTAGATCATATATAATCATCTGTATTTGAATAGCCTAACAGTGTTGTAAATACATAATTTGGTTTGTTCTTGTCACCATAGCAACTAATAAGATTGCAATTCAAAATAAATTACACATATATCAAACTAAACTGGACCACCTTTCGTTAGAAAGGGAATAATATGTCAGCACTGGGCGATGTCAGTTCGTACCTCAATGCTGCAGGTACGTCTTAATGACAAGTGCCTATAAGCTTGAAACTAAGGTCTTTGGCTTCTCACCGATCACCTTCCACTATGCAATATGTGTTCAAAGTGCACCGCGAACTTGATTCACCTCTCATGGTGAATACATTGAAGACCTGACTGATAAAAATTGTCTAGCACTAATGTCTAAAGAAATCCCTTTGGTTATTCCGCTAGTGGCCAGTCAGTGTGACATTAAAGTCTTGATTTTCTTTTCCTCTACATTTTGTGCTATTACGGTGTTTACTTGTATACAAGTTCTTGAATGGCTAACATGATTTATTCATTGCTGCTTCTAGTGTTTGTGTTATTGTTAGCTAGTCACTAAGTGGTATCTTCACTATAGATAAATTAAGTAAGCTTATGAGCTTGAATGTTATTTGCTTTTTAAGTGTTGTTAATGTAGCGTTATCTAAATTATTCCGATTCATTAGTTTTTCGTTGTTTTTTCTTTTTTAAAAACTTTTACTTTGGTTTCAATTTATAGATTACCAAAGAAATATTTGGTTGGCTGTCAAACTCGTCGTCCAAGCTCATTAATGGATTCAATATGGACATTGGCTGGTGTATTGTCACATCGTTGTAAACCGAATAAATGGATACAATTGAATATTTGTTTATTAACTAATAGTTCAAGGTTGATTGCTTATAAGACGGGGCATTCAGTTACACCATCATTAGCTTTATTCTTGTGTGGTTCTACTGGTATATATTCAGGACGTGACAGTGGTATGGAGCATGTGATAAAGATCGCACATTTCAGTCGTGAAATTATTGTTTTAGCTGCACCAACTGAAGAGCAGGCATTAATTTGGGTTCGAGTATGTTCTACTTATTGTGATTTATTCCTTGTTGGATTTCTAACAAATCTTACATTTAAATTATTGTTACATTTAACTTTGACTAATGGTGATATATGTCTATCACATGATGTTTGTGTGTATGTGATGTGTAGAGACCTAGAGAACTTCTCACTGCTGTGGTGTAGATAGATATCAGCTATTGGAAATCAGGCTATAGTAAACCTGTTTGATAGTTTTCAGCAATGCCAACTTATAACATCTTGCGGGATCGAGTTTGAAATACTTGTGAGTCTCAGAATGAAAGTGGTTTTATTTGATTTTTCTGAGTGAGAATGTGATCATTCATATTTGTCAGTACTCAGTACAATACAGCGAAAATTTTATTCCGTTAAGCACAGCCAGTATTTTGACCGGGGTTTATCACTTATGATCCTACTTGACTGTCTAGATCTCGGTATGTTTAGGTGAGTTCCAACACGAAACCTAATAGTTGGAGAAGCTGAATTATTAGACCACTCCTCTTTTCGTACTTACACATTAAATTCCCCCATCAAGCATTCTTCAAGTGTTAGCTGTTTATCAAGTATGTATTGTTGGGAAGATTCTTTTTGACAAAAAATATAAGGGATTCAGATTCATTATTTTGACTATTAATTGTTGAGAAATTATTACCTACATGAATTTTCTTTTTTATGAATCTTTTGATTCTAATGTTGCCTGATTTCATTACTATGCCGAAATACACAGTCTTTGTTAGTCTAGTAGCCAATGGAAAAACGCTTTGATTTTCCGAACGATGAATCTTGAGTTCAAGTTGCAGCGTGGATAAGTGTTTTACTCAATGGAACTTCAGGTCCATACATCTGACGAGTCGCAAATAGGACAAAACACTAACACTAATCGATATATATATATATATATATATTATTGACTGACTCTGTAGGAAGTGTTGTCAAATTTCACTGTTGGAGATAACTTTTCAGGATACAATGGAGTCCATTTAAGGTGTACAAGGATCTTAATAAAATATTTTAATTAATGAAACATAACTTTTATGCCGAAATAAACGCATCAGTCTCAACGTTTTTTCTCTCTTTTGATTTTCACATATTATCATAGCAAATCAACCAGTATTCCCAAGGGATTACACCTACAGAAGTTCGTTCATTTCTACCACATTTTACTGTACCGAATAGTGCTAATGCAACAAGTGTTACAATTACTGCTGCTACTAATACTACTGTGACTACTATAAATTCTTCATATAAGAATGCTAGTGGACTGAGCTCGCATTCACTAAGTAATCATAATTTTACATCTCCAAAGTCTTTGGTTTCCAGTAATCGTCCTATTTCTATGGAAGTATCAGACATAAAAGTATGATTATGTTTTATTTTTTGCACTTATTTTTTCATGTTGGGCACATATATATAAGCTGTCTCCCTCTTTAATTTGTATACATTGACTTAGTTGCTTAAAATTATATTGTCTACTTTTAATTTTGTGAGCATTTACTGTAGGAATAAAAATAATGTTGCTTCTTTTCAGAATGTTTGCTAACCATAGAGAAAAAAATGTCCATATGTTTTTTGTATGCATGCTTTATGGTTGTAGTTCACGTGGAAGATGAACCCGACTAGAGTATTTGTCTTTCCAGTCGGCTTATAGGTTAACTAACTGACTGGTTTCAACGCAGAACTTTGCACAGATGTGCACCAGTTTGAGTTGCCACACTCCCTCCATGTAGCAAACAAAGCAAGAGAAGAGAGTAAAGAGAGATAATAAACAGAAGTGTGAATGAGGCAAAAAGAATAGTAATACGGAAGAACAATACAATTTTATTGGGTATTATGAATCACAATGCATCTGAGCCAGCCATTGACAACGACGACTTTGAGCCAGGTCACCAATTGTCTCTAGTCTTCATTGGTTCTTACCATCCCAAAGACCCCAACCAATTAGGAAGTCTACACCTCCCTACGCGGCTGGCTTAAACTAACTCTTGTGAATTTCATTGATTGGTGAGACCATGTTTTGGTTTGACCACCACTATTTCTTTTCCAACCTGATCCATCCTATGTCAGTCAGTTAACATTGTCCGTCAAGGAAGGCGATGGCTAGGCATACGTAACACATGCCCTAACCATCTCAGTAGATGTAGCTTCACAGCCTCATCGGTTGATTTCCCCTCCTTACCTAGCACTCGGCTGATGTCTAACCTCAATATTGCTCACCCTATTATACCACATAACACGAGAGATAGAACTCAGGCACCTTTGATCAAAGACAGCTAGCCTTTTCATACCTTCCATTTCCAATTAACAGCCATGTCTCAGCCATGGAGGACAGAGAGAACTGCTGAGTTTACACACGCCCTTTGGTCGACGGAAACCTGGATGTCACATCGATACTAGAGATGGCATAGATCGGCATTTGCAAAATGAGCCTCCTGTATCCGTGCTGAGATTTCGTCAGCGATCAGCCTGCTGGCGTTGGATGATGCCACTTCCCAAGTAAGTGAAGTGGGCAGCACGCCCCACCAACCACTACTTCACTCGCTATCTTTAAGCTAGGAATTAGTGGAGGAAGTCCAGTCCATTCCTGTAGCATCATCTTACCTTTGACAAGGGGAGTGAATCTCATGCCAATCATTGGTTTAACACAAAAACGTACGGGATTATATTTCGCACCACATTTGTTGGTAAGTCTTCTAAATCTTGTGTTTTTCTAGGTGAATTATAAACGGCATGTCGCTAGACTGTTATTCACACATTGTACAACAAATTTATCTGTTATCTTGTTAAAATGGCTCAGTAGTATGCCTTATACTGGCTGGTATTTTTTCCTAATGAGATACGGTGACGGTAGTTTGATATTGTCTTGGCATGGTATGGTTGTAAAGAATAATTTCTGTCTGAAACGTCATCCAGTAAATAAGATTTTTGCGTATATATATATATATATAATGTCTAGTACACAAGCTAAAGAGGTTTACTTTATCCGCCATCGTGTTTATTTAAAATCAATGGTTGAATACTGGTCAAACATACAGGTTGTCTGGGTTTCATTCCCCGTCGACACACTCATAAACCTTGCTTAGACAATTATGAGCCCGGTAAAGCGGAAAGGTTGGGCGTGAGGCTAGCAACCTCACTCTGTAAAAAGAATCGCCACCGCTGGTGAAAATTCAAAGCTCCGGCTTGAAACCCTATGTTCCACTCGGAAAGCAAAGGAATGATGATACGTTGGAGTGCTCTTGGTCGTGGTCACTGAGTCACTGCTTTTGTGTTTGCCTGCATCAATGAGATATTAATTACGTGAGAATATGTGGAACTATTTTGAATAGTAACAGCTCTCAAAAACAACATGCATCTCCGTTTGCGACTGAGATCAATCGCCACCAAGCAACATCAGTTGGGGAGTCGTTGAAAACCAAGTAGAACTAGATAGCATTGCACACTCATAACCATCCCACTAGGGCATCGAATCCAATACGTTGTGGTCGTCAAGCCAGTCCGCTGATCATTCAGCCGTTGATTTGGAATTCAGTCACCTAAGAATTCTGACTCTTGTCAATTCAAGATGTAGCACTCTCACCAACCAATTCTATAGATACTCATTCACTTCACTTGGACATTGTGTGTCTGTGACGCTGGTGGGAGCATAATGAAGAGTGTCATACTAGGATAAAACAACATTCCAATATCCCTTGGTTTTCACTGATTCCTTAACTGGTATAGGTTCGTGACGACATCTACGCTGGAATTAACTTTAATTTCTACAAAATAAAAATGCCTTAACCTTATGGACTGATGATATACTTTAGTATCTAATTGTTCTTAACTCTATCGTAGCCTATAACTATTTCATCTAAAGTCGCTCATTTTGATGGATAGAACCAGAATATTTTTGGAATACGTTCACTAAACAATACATGATATATAGGTAAATGAGCCTTTAAGCTGTGTACAGTCAACGATATTACGTAAAATCTAATCACCTCAGAAAAGCCTAATTTCATATTGAATACAAATAGCTGAAAATACTAAAGACACAGTATAATAGTGTTTTTTACCGCCTTCTTTAAAATGTTTTTCCACCACATCTACAAAGTGATTGTTATTTTCATAACCTCAGTGTTATATCACCCATTGTTTTCAAAGAGCAGCCTAAAATCTATTCAAATGGAAACAAACAAAATAATGATAATAATTTTTAAAGTAGGAACTCGATTTACTGTGTAATTCTCCAACATCTATTAAGAATATTGTTTTTACATGTTCAATGCTTATTCAACTGCACTGTCTATCTGTGTTAGCTTAGGCAATTATTCTACAGAATGTCATTTCAAGCATATATGACCCTAATATCTTGTAAACAGCACTACTACTACTACTACAAGTCTGTCCATGCATTTTATTGTATGTGCAAAAAATGTAACATTATACAAAAGCCGATTGCATTGTTGTTTTGCTTTGAATTAAACATACACTGCAATTTTTGTTAATTCGTGTTTCTTTGTCTGTTATTATTATTGTATTATTATTGTTCCTTTGGGTTCTTAGTGGAACATAGCGCTTCAACTGCACGTCTCCACTTGCTTCTGTCTTCTGCTGTACTTTTCACTTGCGTCCATGTTATTCCATACTGTTTCATCTCCTCCTCACATGATCTCCTCCATGTCACCCTTGGACGTCCCACTCGCCGCTTCCCTTTCGGGTTCCACTCGAGGGCCTGACGCGCGATGTCACCCAGTGGCCTCCTCAACGAGCGTTCAATCCATCTCCTGCATATTTGTTGGGCGATTGGTTCTTGTTTTGTTTGTTCCCATAGTTTCTTGTTCGTGATTCTTTCCGGCCATCTGATCTTCAGTAAAGAGCGAAGACAGTTGTTGATAAAGGTCTGCAACCTGTTGAAAATATTCTTGGTGACCCGCCAAGTTTCTGCTCCGTATAGCAAAACTGACTTGACGTTTGTATTGAAAATCCGAATTTTGTTGTTGATGCTGAGTGACGAAGATTTCCAGATTGGTTTCAGGTTGATGAATGTGTTTCTCGCCTTCCCGATTGTCAATTTTATATCCTCGTCCGTTCCTCGTGTAGTTGAGACAATGCTCCCTAGATAAGTGAAAGAAGTAAACTCTTTCAAATCCCTCCCGTTGATGGTGATTAGCTCTGGATGTAGCTGCTGTTGTTGTTGTTGTTGGCTGGTTATTTTCATAACCTCCGTCTTGTCTATGTTCACCTGCAGTCCTGTTTTTGCTGCTTCTTCGACCAGTTTGTCGGTTTTCGCTTGTAAGTGTTCGATTTTGTGTGACATCAAACATAAATCATCTGCGAAATTCAGGTCTTCTAGGTTATTCACGTCGGTCCAGGATATCCCTGTCTTCTCGTTTCCCACTGTCTGACGCATAATCCAGTCCACCACAATTAGGAATATCATTGGTGATAATAAGCACCCTTGTCCGACTCCTGTGTTTACTCCAAACGCTTCGCTGAGTTTTCCGTTGTGGATCACTTGACATGTGCCGTTGTCGTACAGCTGTTGAATAAGGTTGATGAATATTTGGGGTACGCCGTAGTACTCGAGTAGTTTCCAAATTACTTCGCGGTCAACGCTGTCGAAGGCCTTCTCAAAGTCTATAAAGTTGAGGTAGAGGTTTGATTGCCATTCCATGCTTTGTTCGATGATGATGCGTAGAGTTGCAATTCGGTCAGAACATGATTTGCCTTTCCTGAATCCAGCTTGTTCTGGTCGGAGTTCTGTATCCAGTGCGTCCTTGATTCTCTCCAGGATGATGCGACTCAGAATTTTACTTGGCGTCGACAGGAGCATGATTCCTCTCCAGTTCTTGCAGAGTCCTAAGTCGCCCTTTTTTGGTAGTTTCACTAGGTAACCTTTCCTCCAGTCAGTAGGCACCTTTCCCTCCTTCCAGACCTTTTGCAATAATGGAGTCAGCATATCTGCTGTCGTCACTGGGTCCGCTTTCAGTGCTTCAGGGGGTATTCCATCTGGTCCAACTGCTTTTCCAGCTTTCAGAAGATTGATTGCATTCAAGACTTCAGCTTTCGTTGGAGGATTGGTGTCAACTTGCAGTTGTGTACGTGCTGTTGTTGGTATTTCTGGACGGGTTGTAGGTGGTGGTCGGTTCAAGAGTCCTTTGAAGTGATCCGCCCATTGTTTAATCTGTCTTTCTTTCTTGGTAATTGGGTTCCCGTGGCTGTCTTTTATAGGTTTCACTTGTGTTGATCTCTTCCCGGATAGAGACTTGGTTATCTGATATCGGTCGGTCGGTCGGTCGGTTTTCGACATAGAACTTTGCACATATGTGCGGCAGTTCAAGTCGCCACAATCATCTGTGTAGCACGCAAAGCAAGAGAAGAAAGTAGAAGAAATGCATAATATAGACAGTAAACAGAGGTGTGAGACAAAGGAATAGTAATAACGGAGAACGAAACAGTTTAATTGGAAATCATAAGTCACAAGGAGTGGATGCATCTGCGCCACTGAGAACGATTTTGAGCCATGTCACCAATTGTTTCCAACCATTGGTTTTTACCATCCCGAGGGCCCCAACCAGGAAGTCTACATCTTCCTACGTGGCTTAGATTAACTGTTGTGGATTTCATTGATTGGTGCCATGTTTTGGTTTGACCGCCGCTAGCTCTTTTCCAGCCTGACCCTATATCAGCTAACATTGCCCGTCGAGGAAGGCGATGACTAGGCATTCGTAGCACATGTCCTAACCATCTCAGTCGAAGTAATTTCACAGTCTCGTCGATTGATTTCCCCGCCTTACCTAGCACTCGACGCCTAACCTCAATATTGCTCACCTTATTATACCACTTTACGCGGGAGATAGAACGCAGACACCTATGATCGAAGACATCTAATCTTTTCATGTCTTCTGCTCTCAATGGCCAGGTCTCACAGCCATAGTGTCCTCAGGTCCCTTTTGCCTGCTGCCTTCTCAGCTTCAGTGGCCAGGTTGTCGTAGAATTGTCTTTTGTCCTTCCTGGCACTCTTCTTCACTTCTTTGTCCAGTGCTGTGTAAGTTGAACTCAGCGTCTCTTTCTCTTGTCCATTTTTGCATTGAGTCATTTTCTCTTTCACCATTCTCCTCTCCTCTATTAGCTTCCAAGTGTCCGTTGAGAGCCATTCCTTGTCCTGTTTCTTCTTTCTTCCTAAAACCGTTGAACACGTTTCGTTGAAAATCACCTTCAGAGAGTTCCAATGGTCTTCCACGGATGATTCCTCAGTGGTGCCGCGTAGTGTTTTCTGCTTTGCTCTGACAGTTGCAGTGAAAGTGTCCTTTGTGGTTGTGTCTTTCAGTTTTGAGTGTTGAACCTTGCATTGTGGCGTATCCTCAGCTATCCTCGAGGCTTTTAGCTTCACCTTGAAAGTCCCTTGTACTAGATAGTGGTCTGAACCCACATCTGCTCCTCTCCTCGATCTTGTGTCCAGTAGTCTCCGTCTCCACTTCCTTGAGATTGAAATGAAGTCTATTTGGTTTTTGGTGTGTCCATCTGGTGAAATCCATGTTGCCTTGTGTATATCCTTGTGTTTGAACACACTGCCACCAATCACCAAATCATTGAAGGCGCAGAAGTCTGAGAAGAGTTCACCATTTTCGTTCATTTCACCGAGGGCCTCGCTACCCATGATGAGTTCTCTTCCTGTATTGTCTCCTCCCAGTTTCGCATTCATGTCACCCATCAGGATTCTGATATCGCCATTTGCGACGTTGTCGATTACTGTTTGTAGTTGTCTGTAGAAATCCTCCTTCTTCTCTTGTTCTGAGACGTTTGTAGGCGCATAGCATTGAATAATTGTAACCTTCCTTCCTTTTGAGTTGAACCTGGCTCTGTGATTATCCTGGAGGAGATTGGTTCCCACTGCATGAGGGCTTTGGCTGCTGTTGGTGACATCATGATGGCTACTCCCTCGGTGTGCTCGTGATTGTCCTCTGGGTGGCCGGAGTAGATTATTGTCTCTCCAGTTGGTAGTTGGCTCATTCCACATCCGTTCCATCTGCTCTCGCAGATTCCCAACACTTCTATTTTATATCTTCTCATTTCTGCGGCTACCTGGGCAGCCTTTCCAGTTTCGTACATTGTACGAATCCCCATTCTTATTTTTGCTTTCGTCGAAAGGAGGCACATCGGCTGACTGGCTTCCCGAAGGCTTTTACCAGCCTGCGTCATTTCACTTCCCCGATTCCAGCGAAAAATAAGGTTATTGTTTGTATTTTTAGAATTTTGAATATATTTGTGCGTTGAAGTTTTAGTAGCAATTTGGTTAAGTTTTGGGGGTGGAGTTGCTAGCACCACGCCCCAACCCTCCCTCTTTATCCGGGCTTGGGACCGGCTAGAAAACTAGCGAGGTTGTTTCTTTGTATACCCTATTAGAATTCAGCCATTGAATACTTTTATGCACTTGCTGCACTTATCGAATACAGTTTAAGTTCATTGACCGACTTCCTTGTATCAAAAGAAGCATCATATTACACGATACTTAGAAAAGGAAAAAAAGAATGCACACAGAGAAAATGAGGTAAAAGAAAATTAATTTTAACGTCTAAAGAAAAGATTTCACAAATGCTGCTACATTTCACACTTGTCAAACTTGATTTTCATACAAACATAATTACATATTGTTTTGCAGCAAGGTAAAAAAATGCAGTAAACATATATGAAGCATTTATTAAATAGTTAAATGGCATGTTCTTTTTTTTTGTCATCACATCATACATTTCATGAACTCATCATTACAATCGAATATAATAACTTGGAATTATGAATTTTTGTGCAATGTTTTGTACCTCTCTATTAATAGTGTGTGAAGTTGTTTTTGTTTCTTTCTAGTGCCACGGACGACTAATCCGATTGTACTCATAATCCCTAATGGGTACCAGATGAGGACCGATCTACTGATGAGTTTTAAGTAGGGCAAAACAGCTTCGATGGTAGCTAATTTCTAGTAGTTGTTAGACTCTTGCCGGTTTCTTTTTTTTGGCGGAATCTACATTCAGACAAATTGTTGATCCTTGTTGACTGTTGACTTCCCTGTATTCAATTCTTACTAGTATGTTTCTGTGGTTGTTTCGTTTTGTGAAAATCGATTTATTCTCAATTTTTCTTCTTTTTTGAACATTGTAGATCGATGCATTATCCCATGAAAATAATCGAAATGATAGATTATTTCAGCCGATTGTAAATCACTTGAAAAGTTTGTCTTTAGAAGAAAGTAGTTGTGTTATGTGTACATCTCATGAGGCTGCCTCTAGTTGTAGTGGTACTGTTATTGATAAAACGGAGATAAGTAATACGAGTGGTATGCCCAGTGATGTTACTACTACTAATATTGATTATTATGGAGGTGTGAATGTACCTCTCCAGTGTCAGTCTACTAGTTCAGTACAATCAAGACCCTTATCAATGACATTGTCGTCCACATTTGATGCACACATGATTAGTTCTAAACAAAATCTACGTCGCAACAGTTTAATTTCGTCAATGCGTCGGAAAGTAGAGTCGTTTAACTCTAAGCGTCGTGCGCGCAAATCACTTCCACAATCATTACAACCAAACTGTTCATCTGTTGTTGAAAGCTGTTCCGATTTACAAAATAACGAGGCGCTTAAAGAAGTAGGACATCGGAGAATGTTGAGTGATGGTCAGTGGTCATGTTCAAAATTTTCATCGGTCCATTGTCTTCAGCAACAGCAAATCTTTTCATCTATAACTCCACAACCACTACCACCTCCCGCAGCAGCTTGTTTATGGGACTCGTCTGGAAGTTCTGGTAAAGGATTCGGTTGGTCCCAGCTAGAAACAGCTGGTGCTAGGTTTTTGAACCAGAATGCATCTTCAGTTAGCTCAAATTCCTCAGCATATCGACCGCGTTCTATGTGTTATGATTCATCAGGATTGTTTGACTTGTTTAATTCTTCGCAGATCAATGTAAATGTTATGCCAAAACATGGTCCATTGTTAGATTTGAATTCCATGCGATCACATTCTGTCACTTCATGTGTACCTAATGGCAATCAAGTAGTTATATCAGGTAAGTTTTCTAAGATTTATCATGGATAATTAATTAGCTTCTGTTGTTTTTGTAGATTGAAGTTGTCATCCCACCTAAAAGTATGCGTAAAAATCACTTAATCATCCTTTGATTCATAGATACTGCATGGGCATTTAGCGATGATATTGATAGCATATTTAAACAGTATTTATGTTATGCAAGTACAAAGTACGCAGCTGTGTTCTGGATGACAGCCAGTAGTATCCATGAGGGATTTCTACTGTCTGCAGTTTTGTCTTATTTTATCATAGATGTACTAATGGAGATACTCCCAACTGACTGCATCGACTTGGGGATCGACTTGTCATCACGGGCCACTCGTCGATTTAGAGTATGTGAATGATATTCTTCTTCTAGATGAAGACACTGACAAAATGCAGTCTTCTGTACACCTTGAGCAGAAGTCTTAGTATTTTTGACATACGATTCGCTCCTGCCAAACGTAAGATAATGCTACAGGTCTGCCTCATCTCATTTAAAGACAGGGACTGAACTGGTTGAACATGTTGACCACTTCGTCCTAACGGATTGATTGCTGATAAATACTCAGCACGGATGTGAAAGGCTCGTTTGGCACTTGCTAATTTTCCTTATCTCTGGCGTAAATATATCCAGCTTTCGTTGAAACGACGTTTATACTGCGCAGCATTTCGCTCTGTCCTTCCTTACAGCTGTGATATATAGCTATTGAAAGTGGAAGATTTGAGGAGTCTAGTTGTCTTTGGCTACTACACATTTTACCTCACGTACTTATTTAGTACAATATAGTGAGCATTATTGAAGTTAGGCTTAGAGTGCTAGCTAAAGAAAAAAAGTCAGTCAACGTGGTTGTTAAGCTTCATGAATTGAGGTTGCTAGGGCACGTGTTTCGCATGCCTAGCCATCGCCTTCCTCGACGAGCAATGTTGGCTCATATGAAATTACTTCGGCGAAGAGTTGAGGGTGGTCAAAACCACAACTTGGGGTGAATTCATGAAGTCTTTGGTAGTTGGCTTGAGTTCTAGAGGGAGGTTCAGACTACTTGATTAGGGGGACCTCGAGAAATTAATAACTAATAGTGATACTATGCCCCAAAATCTACTTCATCGGCAAAGATGCACTAACATTTTGTAATCTATGTGTTGTACATTGAGAACTAAGGGAACTAATTGTTTTAAGTCTTCCAGTTCTTTTAAATCGTAATTATTCGCTTTATTCCTTACATTTCTGCTCATGATGGTTCTTTTGAGTATTTTTCTGCCTCTCAACCTTTGTGTTACGTATGGAATGTGACAACTTCAGTCGCTGCGCGCTCGTACAGAGTTCTATGTTGAAACCTAGTGAGTCACTGAGGTACAGATTAAGTCTTCTCAATTGGTTCTTACCTTCTTAGTGTGACGGTATGGATTGAAGAGTAGTTGTATGCATCCATTATGCAACTTCACTCTCTTATGTACGTACATTTTCTTAGTGATGAAAATAGTTTTGTCATTGAAGACGAGTTCGAGATAAATAGTTACGTGATCTACAGATCTTACTTTATAACTTGGAAATCATGACACCAGAGTATTATATATATTTCAAGGTAGACTGCATCATTCTTCGGTGTCTGTTAGACAGTCATCGAAAGCCTTGGTGCATTGGGTGGGTGTTTCGTCCTATTTTGTATTATTCAACGATTTTCACCCACTACTCCATCAAGGAAACAGAATTAATGAGGAAAGCTTTGTGTGCTAACTGAATTGTGAAAAGTGGTTACTATTTGCTATATACACTGTGGAATTTGCCTATACACTGTGGAATTTGATTACTTCTTGAAATATCTTGAACAGGAAAAGCATTCGTGTTGCGTGACCGCAGAGCCGTAGGGACAACTAGTTGAGGTCAGTCACACGTGACCTGTTTGAGGCCAGCTGTGGACGTCTACAGTGTGAATCGAGATGTATAATTTTGGAGTCAACCTTTGGTTGTGTGACGATATCCACTGAGTTCTCTGGGTCCGTTTCCATTGCTTCCGAGAGGATTCGATTTGGTTTTCATGCTTCCTTCGCTTTCAGTAACTTTATGTTTGTTAAGATGTGCTTTTATCGGAAGATTGTTGCCTGCTGATGGTATTTCTGATCGAGCTGTAAACGATAGTTGACACGATCACTGACCAGCACATCGTTTTCTGTCTCACCTCTCGTGTAATTAGATTACCTCCAATATTTTTCATTGGTTTCATTTGTGTTGATCTCTTCCTGGATGGGCGACCTGGTTATCTGGTATAACGTTCTGAAGTACATCTTACCTGCGGCCTGTTCTACCTTAGTAGCCAGTGTTCTGTGAGAGTGTCTTTTGTATTTTCTAGCGCTCTTCCTCTCTCATTAGTCCAGTGCTCTGTTGTTCATCCCAGCACTCGTCCATCTGCTTCACTCTCATCTCAATGAGTTTCCGAGTTAGCCACTCCTTATCCTCCCTCTTCTTGCGTAATATGGTCATACAGATTTCCTTCCATGTGGCTTTTAGTGACTTCGAGTGTTCTTCCACACACACAGGTTTCCTCGATGATGCTACTTAGTGCCTCCAATTTCGCCCTGATGGCTGCAGTTAATGTGTACTTTGTAATTTCGTCCTTCCGTCCCTGAGTGTTGTGGTCTATCTCTAGCTTCTTTGAAGGTTCGTTGCAGTAGTAGTGATGTTAAACCTCACTTACTCCTCTTCTCGCTCTTGCATCCAGTAGGCTTAGTCTCCACTTCTTCGAGGTCGAGACGAAGTCTATTTGACTTTTGACGTGTTGTCCACATGGTGAAATCGACGTCGCCTTGTGAATATCATCGTGTTGGTACACACTGCCGTCAATCACTAAGCACACAGAAGTTTGAGGAAAGTTCTCCGTTTGTATTCCTTTTACTAAGCATTTTCGACGTGTGACGAGTTCTTTTCCCGTGTTGTCTGATCTCGGTGTGGCTTCCTCTCATATTACCCTCTAGAATTTTGATGTGACCAACTGGTTCTTGTCAATTACTGTTTACAGTTGTCCGCAGAATTCTTCCTTCTCTTGGTCTACGTTATTTGTAGAGGGTAGCGTTGTGTAGTTGTGACTTTCTTACCTTTTGAGTTAGATCCTACTGTTATGATCCTTGATTATATTGATTCCTAATACGTAAGCGCCTTGAATGTTGTAGGTGACATCACTATAGACACACGCTTAGTGTGCTTGTGGTTGTTGTCTGGATGACTGGAGCAGATTATTTATTTCTCCAAATTAACAGTTTTGAGAGCCGACTTCAATTTCATTTGCTCTCTCAAATTCCTAATACTTCTATATCATATCTTCTCATTTCTTTCACAATCTGAGAAGCCTTCACAGCTTTTAACATCGTTCGAGTAGTTTATTTCTCCATGCGTATATTTACCCTCATCGAACAAGAAAACATTGGCTGACTGGCTTCATGAAGGGTTTCACCAATCCATGTCATTCTGTCTCTCCTATTCCAGCAAAGAATAAGTTTCTTGTTTAAATGTTTTTATGTTTTGAAGTTTCTGTAGGTACTGAATTGTGTTCGGGTTACAGTCGCTAGCTCCACACCAAACCCTCCCTCTTTTCCCAAACCTAGAGCTGGCTAGTATACTAGTGGACTCGTAAACTACTTAAGGTTTATCAAAGCTGTGGGATAACAATATTTCTAGGTACACTTTCCCCCCTTATTAATACAAAGGATTGTATGGCGCTGAAGGCTTTATCACGTGGTGTATTTTTGGGATAGTCTGTGGAGCTGTGTGCTTTTTGACTAGTATAACATTACTGATTAGTGAATATGTAATCGATATTTCGTAATTTCTTGCATAGATTATGCTTACTGTTTATATTTTTATTTTTCAATGTAGGTAATGCTTCCATTTCTATACCTGGGCGGGTTTCATGGACTACTAGATGGTGTTGTTTAAAGTCGAATTGTCTTGAAATCTACTTGAATAAGAAAGGTTGTGATAATAACATTAGTCAACACAACAATCCCTTTAATGACTATTATATGGATGATACTAATTGGCCATTGTTTTCTTTGCCATTAGAACCAGGCAAAGTTGAACTAGGCTTAGCTAGAGATAAACGTCATTCATCGGCTATTCGTCTTGCTGTACCGACACAGTGTTCGGCACCATTGTTATTCGATGTTGCAGACAAGTTACAAATGGGTGCTTGGATTAGAGGATTTATTCAAGCATTGGGTCTTATTTCACCAACAGAAGATGCTATAAATTCTAAGCAGGAAACAAGTAAGCGTTTCCATGGCCTTTTTTCGCTACTTAATTTTTTGGTTGCACACTTTTGATTTAACTGGTTTAAACTGCCATAGATAATGTCGACTTTCAAACTCATTCATCTTAGTGGACTATCTTGGTTGTATTCAGATAATTAGCATCGTCATTATTGTGATTAGAAGAAGGCTATGAATCTCAAAGACTTTAATATATTAGATTTTGTCCTTAATTTTTCAGGTTGATACTTTTTTTGCAAATTCAGAGGATCTTTCTTAGCTTTCATCGCATCATATGGCACCACAGACTGAATACTATTAAGATATAGGTGTAGATTAGGAAGTCAGATCAACTGAGGGTGTGTTGGAAATTTTATTGATTGCGGTGATTGCGTCATATTTACATACGCGGTCACAATTTACCGTGAAAGGCAACGCATAATGGACTAAGGTTAGGTTGAATAAAGGTTAGGTAGAAATAAACCAAGATATCACATTAGTTTTTAAAGTAATTTACTGGGTGTGATGGTGTTCGCTACATCCTGAGGTGATAACTGTCTGATTGGTATCCTCAAGTTGTAAAAAACAAAGGTTGGTGAATCTTCATACCAATGATTTAAACTCGTCCGCCAAGTATTACTTTTACTAAAGTGTTTAACGGGCCATCGTATTTCATCGTTGCCTATTTCTTTTAATTGCATCGTTGTAAATTCATAGTGGGCAAATTACTTATATGTGACTCACCAGTTTGTGGTTAATATCTCAGGCTATATATTCAAAGTGTACAGAAACTGATAGGTAGACAGTTCCTATCCAAATAAACATTTAGGCTTAGTTAGTATATACTAAAAACAAAAGAAAAGAAAAGTATGAAGTCTGTGTTGAGTAGACTATATACACTTACCGTGTATTCTGTAATAATTACATGTGGTTTTAGCGTGGGTGTGGCTTAAAACACACCGATTTCGTCCCGTTTACACTCTAACAGTGTAACGCCCACATCTGGAGATATGACTTTTGGTTAACAGTTCATCGATACCTATTTTTACTGCTTGTTTAGTTTTTATACATTTATAGGCACATTCTTCTGGATTATAAAGCACTAAAGAACATCAGAAGTAAAGAGAAAACACTCAAGTAGTGTATTATTGAACATGAATTTGTAGAAACTACTGTCACTTTAACAGTAATCAGATCGGTAACAGCATTTCGTCATTAGCTGAAATCAGTTAGAGAACCATTGGAAAACCTGGGAGTACTCGACAGTTGTTTCGTCAGCCTAGTCTGGGATTCTTCAGCAGTACGCACCCACCGGGGTTCAAACCCAGGGTCTTCTGGTTACCAGGCGAGCTCGTAGAGTATTAAGCGACTGGGACCTGATCCAAGGACCGATGAATTCCAACTTTTACCGATTCACGACATAGCGCGACCACTAGCCAATGTCTTCGGCGAGTATTCGTCCTCACACCCTACCTGCTGTATCCTACTGGTCATGACTTCCCACTAGAACCCCAGTTAACTACCTACCTATATATATAGCCAGTTGCTCCCAGGTTTTCCAATAGCTCTCTAACCTGTGTAAGCTCATGATGAAATCCTGTAACCAATCAATCAAATCCATACAAACCAATAATTGAATACTAATCAGTTCAGAATCTGATTGAAACGCAAAATAACCATTTTTTGTTTTGTTTGTTTGGCGCTGAAATTACTGACCCTGTTCTGTCATCTCTGGGTGTATTCACTCATGCAGGGAGAAGCTGGATTACTTATATATATATATATATATATATATATATATATATATATATTGATTTGATTCTTTTTGATTTTGATTTTACAGCTTGATTCCACACCGTATTTTCAGTACAAGTGTGGAATTTTCAGCATGGATATATATAACGACAGAAGGCAAGACTCAGGCAACAGATTGTTTATTATGGAAATCAACAGATATTTATAGATTTTCGTGTACATTATTATAGATTATTGTTAGCTGACAAACACAGTTTTCTGGTTGGTTGTTTCTCACTAAAAGTTAATCTCTCATCTCTTTGTTGCTGTCTCTTGAGTGTCAGATCATCTATCTGCTAATTGAATCTGCTTACGCAAAGTCTGCTGTCCATCTTTGATCTTGTTTTCACATGACTAATATTTGAGACATAAACATTGACGTCAATTACTGTCTACCAATTTGGCTAGCAGCCATCTCTCATCACACTCGTACCCTCGTCAAATAGCTTCGCGCGCAGGCGTTCTGACCTTCTGGGTGATGCATCCTCTAGTTGATGATTGTTACGGACCGTCTTGTCCCACTGCACCCATCGTTGAATCTGACTGGCGTTAATTCGTTTTTGTTTGTCACCTCTTCTGATGGTATATACTTGACCCCGTCGTTTTTTGACTGTGTATGTTCCGTCCCACTTTGGAAGGAGTTTTCGTGAACCTGGCCCGCATCCATTTGCAAGTTTCCTGTCTCTACACTTCACTTAGTCCCCGACTGCAAAGGTAATGCGGTTAGTCTTTTCTCTCAGCTGAGACTTCGCGACATCCCTCCGCTGCTTCTGCATTACATTCTTGACGGCTTCTTTCCGTTCTGCTTTTAATTTCGTCGTACTCCACTTTTGGTGAAGGGGCCAGGTCTCATTGTGTATCGGTAATCGTGATTTTCTACCATATATCAGTTGAAAGGGTGACTTCTTCGTTGTTTCCTGGGTGGTAGCACGATGTGTTAGTAAGATCAGTGGCAGCTCCGTTTCCCAGTTACCGCCCTTCGAGGCCATCCACTCCTTCAGCGTACGGTTGTTTCTCTCCGTCAGACCATTCGCTTGTGGATGATATGGGGTCGTTCTGATCCTCTTGATGCCCAGCTGTTGCAAACGGGAAGTAAATTCTTCACTTTCGAAACAGGGACCTTGATCTGTCACTATTGTCTTTGGTACGCCGTGGTCTGCAACGATGTGTCTAACTACTACATCTGTCACGGTCCTTGCGCGTTGGTCTGGGATTGCTACGGCGTCTACCCATCGTGTCGCGTGTTCCGTCATCACCAAGAAGTACTGATTACCATTGGATGTCTGAGGAAATGGACCCATGACATCTACGGACCACAAGTCACCTATCGCCGTAACTGGAATCGACTGAAGTGGTGGTCGTATGCACCGGTCGCCTTTCATTAGCTGGCACCGTGGACATCCAAGTACATATCTTGCTACGTCTTCTCTCATACCTGGCCAGTACATACTTTGTCTCAAGAGGTCGGTTGTTCTGGCCACTCCGGTATATGCTAGCTGGTGGCATTCTTCTATCATGTCGTGGCGCGACGATTGAGGTATGACAGCTAGCCAGCTTCCGTCGTCCTCTCGCCAGGTGAGAGTCCCGTAGGCATTCACTCTTAGTCGATCTCTCTGTCTGAGTAGTGTGGTTAGCTCCACACTCGCTGTAGCTGGATCCACTTCTATTCCGTTAGTGTTCACCTGTATTACTGTATTCAGCGTATCGTCCAACCTTTGTCTGCGTGCCAGTCTTAGTGGGTCTTGTTCTACTGCATGCACTCCGTAAGCGACCTCGGGCAACTCAGACTCGTCTTCTGGTCTCGATAACAAATCTACCAAGACATCTTCATTTCCAGGAACGTGTGAGATCGTAAAATCGTACTCCTGAAGACGCAACATCCACCGTGACAATTTCCCTCGTTGGTCTCTCGCTGTCTTCAAAAACTGTAGCGGCTTATGGTCAGTTTCGATGTGGAACCGCCGGCCGAGTAAATAAGGTCTCCATTTGTCGATTGCCCATACCATCGGTGAAAAATTCTTTCTCTATCGTTGAATACTTTCGCTCTGTGTGTGTCAAAACCTGACTGGCATACTCAACGATTCCCTCACTCTGTCTTAGGACCACACCTATGGCGTAGTCACTGGCATCTGTGCACACTGTGAACTGTCTTCCAGGTACAGGTAGCTTTAGTGTCGTTTGTTGGTACTCGGGCAGCTGTTTAATCCTGTCGAATGTCTTGTGCGATTCCTCCGACCAAACAAACTTCGGTTCACCTAGTAGCCTGTACAGAGGGGTTGCTATCTCATTGAAGTTCTTCACGAAGCGACTATAAAACGCTGCTCTACCCAAGAAATGTCTCAATTTTCTCTTTGAATTCGGGGCCGGGATCGTCTTTATCGTCAAGATTTTCTCCGGTAGTGGTTTAATCTCACCACTTCCCACTTTATGTCCCAAAAGAGTAACATTCTTTTTGGCTATCTGAGACTTGGTTTTGTTGACGCTCATTCTAAACTCTTCGATGCGTCGCAGCACGGCTTCTATATAGTTCATATGATCGTTTTCGTTTTGACTATATATGACGAGATCATCACCGTACACCTCCACGTTTTCCAAGTTCTGAAATAAAATGGTGCACCTGCTAGTCCAAACGGAATGCGTTTAAATCGATATTGTGTCTGACCAACGATGAATGCCATCTTATCTCTATCACCTGGCTTTATCGGTATCTGCCAGTATCCTGAGCGAAGATCGAGAACCAAAAACAAATTTGCGCCTTGTAGGTGATCTAAAGTTTCTACTACTGTTGGCATGGCACACGGTCTTAACTCTGTCATACTGTTTAACTGTCGAAAATCAACGCAGAATCTATACTTCCCATTCGCTTTTTTTTACTAACAGCACTGGAGAGTTGTACGGGCTATCAGCTTCTTCAATAATATCATCTTTTAACATCTCTCTCACTTGTCGCTCAACTTCGCCTTCCAAATGAGATGGAACTCTTCGCGTTGTAAATGACGTTACTTTCGGACCACTTAACGGAATTTCATGATTCACCTTATCGCAATAACCGTATGGGTTCCCATCTCTAGTAAGCAGATGATCGTATTCTCTAATTAACTCTGTCATATTGTGTACCTTCGACAGCTTAACCGCTCCCATCTCGTTGGTCTCATACATGCTGATATGTCCGTATTTTGTAATTACAACGTTCGCTTGTGTTTCGATTATCGCACCAATCTCCCGCAGAAAATCCGCCCCAAGTATCGTTCGTCGTAATTTGGGCACAACAATGAAGGGGAACGTCACCTCGCAGCTGCCAACCACGACCGTACAGTTTGATCTACCCGTGATACGTAACACGTGCTCGCCTACCGTTTGTACTGTCAATGAACATGGACTAACACTCTTACATAAGTTCTTATCTATTAGGGACACAGCCGCCCCCTTATCTACTAAGCATACTACTTCTTGATCATTTACTCGCAAATTCGAATACACAGCCCCTTTCTCGATAGCTCTCACTACATCTAGTTTTATACCACAGACAGATCACGTATTATACCGTCTGAAACTTTTTCTTTTTCGCCTCTCTGGGCAGTATCTCCTCCAGTGTCCTGGCTTACCGCATTCAAAACATCGGTCTTTTCTGTCACCCAACTTTACACACACATATATATATATATATATATACGTGTTCCATGATTGTGCACATAAGCAGACTAGATAGACATTAGTATTGGCAAAATTATCTGCCAATTAATTCACCTAGACTGATAGAATTGATTCTTAATACCATAAACAAGCACTATGTCATCCCATTAAAGGCAGAATTGTATTCCTACTTCATGTGGTGGATACAATACAAATAGGGTAGTTTTGTTGCACATATCAGAGATGAACTAGTTTTATGCTTTTCAAATGATTAGTTGAGAAAATTTAGGTGGTGGGTCATTTCGGTTTGCATCAAAGTTATGCAAGATTTGTTTGTTGGAGTGGAAGACAGAGAGTACATAAGAGTTAGGGAAGTTTACCTACTCGTCGTCTCTGAGATATATTTTGGTATTTGTATGTGTGTGTGGTAGAAACAACACATAAGTAGTATTCATATGTTAAATGCATAGTTTTTAACAAAATCGGCAAGATGGTAGTTAATGTGCGGTGAAAGTTTTTATCTGTTTTACTTTAGTAGTTATTTTTCTCTATTCACAGTACAAAAAATGCCTTACGATCCCTTGGGTAATAGAATCGAACGATACTGCACAACCACGTGATATTATTCCCCTTAGCACATTGTCAGCTGCATACAAATACAAGTTTGATAGAAATTGAAGTGTGACTCTATGTAGATATAACTCTTATTTCATTTTTAGCTTTCAAAACTTCTTTTCTGTTGGTTTCTTTTCCCGTTCTGAAAAGTGAGTTTGTACCATCACTTAACTTACATTGAAACTGGTCAGAAAAGAGTTAGGAGTGGTTAAACCAAAACCTGGTATCAGTCAATGAAGTATTTTATAGTTGGTATGTGTTGCGTATGCCTAGCCATCGCCTTCCTTGACGGACAATGTTAACTGACTGACATAGGATGGATCAGGTTGGAAAAGAAATAGTGGTGGTCAAACCAAAACATGGTCTCACCAATCAATGAAATTCACAAGAGTTAGTTTAAGCCAGCCGCGTAGGGAGGTGTAGACTTCCTAATTGGTTGGGGTCTTTGGGATGGTAAGAACCAATGAAGACTAGAGACAATTGGTGACCTGGCTCAAAGTCGTCGTTGTCAATGGCTGGCTCAGATGCATTGTGATTCATAATACCCAATAAAATTGTATTGTTCTTCCGTATTACTATTCTTTTTGCCTCATTCACACTTCTGTTTATTATCTCTCTTTACTCTCTTCTCTTGCTTTGTTTGCTACATGGAGGGAGTGTGGCAACTCAAACTGGTGCACATCTGTGCAAAGTTCTACGTTGAAACCAGTCTTTCAGTCAGTTACATACACTCTGGAGTCTAAACGGGTCGAATGGCGGCGTCTGAACGTGTTTTGGTCACCGAAATGCACAAAAACTTAGCTACTGACTCTGCTCCACTATCTTTTGGATCAGTCTTGAAGTCAAATTTCCGTTTAAAGAAAGCCATATGCTTCGGTCCTGTCACTTACCCCAGCTGTCTCACAAACTAGTAGATTTTGTGTGTTGCATGTTTTGCTGCCCATAATGTACCAAGTTTATTTTAGTAAATATAATGAAAGAGGTTATAACTAGTTTAGTTGGCTTAGTGAGTGCGAACTAAACCATTTGTAAATCTTTGGGTTGAATTCATTACACAGGTTTTAATATGAAAAGAAGTATATCTACCTAAAAAATCAATGAAACTTTGGAGAAAATCGTTGCTAGTGATGTTTGTTGATGTTTTAAGCTTGAATTTTGTTCATGATAGTTGAAGTAGCACCACTACCTACTTTTTTTTAATTTACTTTTTATTGTTTTATGCCTCTGTAGGTCATTCTATGCGTGGAATCGCCTCAGCGAAACTAGGTTATATTCCCCAGTCTTCAGTTATGCACGAAAGGACTGGTTTTCAGCAAACCCATTTAAAAGGGGATAATGTCTTACCAACTGTCAGCTCATCGTGGGTTGGTCGTATTCCTAATTCAATTATGGAAACTTCACAAACTTCAGTGTATTACTCAGATATCCATGAAGATGGTGATAATGATGCGGTTTGTGTAAATAAAACACAGAATGCAGTAAATAATCCAAACTTTTCAAATACAGTAATTTACGATGAAGTATGCCCTCCACAAACAATATATAGCAAATCCAACAATAAGGATATCAGTGCTACAATTACGCCACTAGCTAACTCGTCAGAAATGTCAAAGACCTCTGATATAAACTTGTCTAAAAGACGTTGGAGTTCCCCTTTACTGATAGTTGAATCATCTACAAAAATACAAACTCCAGGGTATTCTAACGAATCGAATACTTCATTATTTAACAATCTTTCATCTCATTGGCATATTCCTCCACCAAGTCGTAGATTATTGGCCCAACCATTACCTCCACTGCCTTCAGTTGGACCGAGTACTTGTGAATCTATAGCTGGAACAATCACGAGTTGTTATACTTCATCGAATATTACACCAGATGATTTTGGTGGTTATCAAGATGAATCGCTGACACCTGCTTCAAATATTGTAGAGGTGAGTGGCAGAGCTGTCCTTACTTCATAAATATCGGTAACTGTGCGCATGTAAAAATGAAACCCGGTAGTTAGTTGGCGAGTTTTGTGGTTAAATAATATTATTGAGAACCAGAATGCACATTTTAAAATAAAACAGACTGTTAGACTGAATCTAACTTCCCTCCAACCATAATGTACTGGATCACGTATACTATACGTTGTAGAAAATAGCATACGAAATAAGTAAACAGATAAAAATCTTAGTAGTGAGATGTGTTGGCGATCAATTTTTTTCATTCCTTAACGTCCCGAGTTGTACATGGGACTTCAAGCTTTGAAGTTGCCTTTTGCTAGGTAGAGGTACTCGCCTTACGCTCAACTAGGTGAGGTCTAAGAGTACGTCGGTTGGAAGTCGAAGCAATCTAATATTGAACCATCGACGATTATACCTCTTAACTACTTTTCTTCAGTTAAACATGCACCTTGTTTCTAGCGTCAATGGGATTATGTAGATAAGAACGAACGTGTTCTTTTACCATTTGACATTGAACTACGCTAAACTGTAGTGATCGCATCACAAATTTGGTCCGTGGATTTCCATCATTATCGCTAACTACATCGGTTATATCATCTATCGTTAAAACATTGGTGAGCTTATCAAAGGCAATTGGGTTTAAGATGTTTAGAAGTAATTTAAGTTGTGTCGCTTGTTTTTTTGACCACGTATTGATAGTACTTTTCTCTTTTCTGTATATCATTTAGTCTGATGGTTTTCCAGAATTCTGGTGTAGAAAAGACGGGAAATTGAATAACTGTAAGTCTTCGCAGATGTCAGCAGTCACAAATCACCGCAGATATGCTAGTATGAGTAGTTTGGAGTATGCAGCCTCAAACACGAACAACACCAACGATGATAAGCGTGGAGATGATGAAAAGCAGGGGAAGAAAACTAGAAATTCTAGTGATGTCAGACTAAGTGAATCTCATAATCAATCTCATTCCAAGGTTGTATTCTCATTGGATGATATCTACAGTGAACCAAGAAAGATTACTTCTAGTCCTGCGTTCACTCCGATTACAACAACGGAATCAAGTCATTTAAGCTGTACAAAATGTTGTACTTCTATTTCAACCTGTGTTCCTGTTGACCCTATTGAAGAACGGACTAATTCGTCGTCTGTGTGTTCAACGTCTACACTTCTCCGTTATTCGGATGTTTCTAATTTGCATAGAGCCAATTGTGATAGAGCTACTATGGGTACCTGTATAATCGATGAACATTGCAATAATAATAACATCAATGTTAATGATCAAAGGTGTTCAGGTGTGCCTTGTGCTTGTTTTTTTATGCTGTTTTTTTTGTATGTGTCATGATAAATTTATTTATATGGGATTCATCATCAAACATATAGACCTTAAGCCTTTTTCAATCTTAACAACTGATCATTATGGATACATTACTACTGCATATTGTTATTACCTTCATTGTTAAATATTGACTAGGAATGTCCCCATCCGTTGTTGTTTTTATTTCTGAAATCATCGCATTATCTATAAATAGAGAATGGGAGGGATTTAGCGTAAAAATGTAGGCCCTCATCTCATACAGAAGTGTTGTTTTGACAATATTATTGTTAATAAGTGAATTAGTAATAAGTCCTTGATGTTTGTGCTGTCTAGCAGCCGATAATCTAGCTGACTCCGGCAAGAGTGTTGTTATTTAAAAGGACATACATAGGGCAGGCGAAAGTGGCACTTTAAATCTACATACTTCTTTTTTCTTCTTATGTCTGCCTATGTTTAAGCTAGCAGTCAGTGTAGTCCCGTCCTGCAACATTATCTTAACGTGGTCAGCAGCGAATCACATGGCGAACATACGAAGGTTTTCGCTGATGGTGTCCCGAAGATTCTGCATTTTGTTGACATTTTCACCTTGAAGTACTGAATTATCCTCATACTCTAAGTCGACGTAATTTTTCCCTTAGATATGTCATTACACTTTTGTATAACATCCCATTGATTATTTGTTATGTTGTTAAAAGTCAAATAGTGGGGAACTCTGAATAGAAGTTTCGTAATGTGACCTTTTTTAAAGTAAGAAATCAACTGTGCATTGTCTTTTACGGAGAGATAACACTTACTTACATCCAGTAGAATTAAGACCTTGTAGTTGAGTGTATATCAGATATTGACTTTATCTATCATAGAACCTTTGTTTATTTGTATTAAAGTCTTAAGAATTCGTATGAACGTTTTTAAGACTTTTTAAAAAATATTTCTGTAGATGAGATCAATTTGTGGGAGTTGAAGTCTGAGAACACTTTGTCATCTAAAGATCCAGCTCTTGTAGAATATATGAAAACATATAAACTAATTAGTGCACGACGATGTGTATCGTGTTTAAGTGGGAACAAACCAACAGTTCTACAGACAAATTCAAATGTTGATGGTATGCCAGTTTTATCGTCAACACTGCCTGTTCGTTCTGGATCGGATGATCCAGTCAAACATATTACAGGAATCAACTTGGACGTTACTGGTAATGATACATTATTTATGAGAAAATCCAATTCACAATGGAACCGAGGCTCATTTTCGTCAAATTCTTCTCGAACAGCTACTTCATCTGGTGTAGCCTTGTCTTCATCTCCTGGTTCTGGTGGGAATACTCGTCCTCCTTCATTAGCAATACCGGGATGTCTTCCTGTAACTCCAGTAGAAGAAGAACAATGTAATATTGAGGTGAATACTTGTTGCTAAGTTTTCATGAATAAATTAGGTAATATTTGGTAAAATTGTAATTTGAAGCAAATTGTTGAAATGGTGAATATAAAACTGTAAAGAATGTAATTAATTCTTGAATACCTTTCAGTAATTACCTTCAAACTGATTTCATTAAAACCTTGCCTAGATTTCTAGTTTTCTAGCCAGTCCTAAGCCCGGGTGAGGAAGGAGGGTTGGGCTTGAAGCTAGCAACTCTACCCCACAAAACCAAACAAACTGCTATAGAAACTTCAACGCACAAGAAAAATATTAAAAATACAAAAAATATATGAAAAACAGACTTATCATTCGCTGGAATCGGAGAAGCGAAATGACACAGCAGGCTGGTGAAAGCCTTCGGGAAGCCAGTCAGCCAGCTGATGTGTTTTCTCTAGATAAAATCAAAAATAAGAATGAGGACGTGGAATGCTCGTGCAATGCACGAAGCTGGAAAGGCTGCCCAGGTAGCCAAAGAAATGAGAAGATATGGAATAGAAGTGCTGGGAATCTGCGAGAGCAGGTGGAGTGGGCGTGGACTGTCAAAATTGTCAACTGGAGATTCAGTAATCTACTCCGGTCACCCAGACGACAACCACGAGCACACTGAGGCAATGAGTGGCTACCATGATGTCACCAACAACAGCCAAAGCTCTTATGCAGTGGGGACCAATCTCCTCCTGCAGGATTATGACAGCACGATTCAATTCAAAAGGAAGGTTACAATTATCATGCAGTACTACGCACCTCCAAACAAGGCGGAACAAGAGGAGAAGGAAGATTTCTATAGACAACTGCAAACAGTAATGGACAACATCGCAAGTGGAGACATAAAAATCCTAATAGGCGATGTGAATGTTAAACTAGGAGCAGAAAATACAGGAAGAGAATTCTTCATGGGTCGAGAGGCTTTCGTTCGGCGAAATGAACAAGAACGGAGAACTCTTCACAGACTTCTGTGCCTTCAATGATTTGGTGATTGGAGGTAGCGTGTACATCCAGGCACAGAGATATATACAAGGCAACATGGATTTCGCCTGACGGGTACATCAAAACCAGATAGACATCACTTCATTCTTCATTCTCAGGAAAGTGAAGACGGGATCTGCTGGACACAAAGTCAAGAAGAGGGAGCGGGATGTGGGCTCAGACCATCATCTAGTTCAAGGAACCTTCATGGCGAAGCTGAAAGCCATCAAATAAACTGCAGACAGACCACAATCCAAGTTCAACATCCTGAAACTGAAAGAAGAAACTACAAAGGACAACTTCACTGCAGCCATCAGAGATAAGTCGGAAACATCACGTAGCATGAGTGAGGAAACGTGTGTGGAAGAACATTGGAACTCTGTGAAGGTGATGTTCAAGAAAACGTGTGCACAGCCGTTTTAGGAAGAAAGAAATGGCTCTCGGTGGACACTTTGGAGCTAATAGAAGAGAAGAGGATTGTGAAAGAGAAAGTGACTCAATGCAGTGATGGACAACAGGAGGAGAAGCTGAGTTCAATGTACACTGCACCGAATAAAGAAGTGAAGAAGAGTGCTAGGAGAGACAAAGGACAATTCTACGACACATTGACTGGCAACTGAAGCAGAACAGGCTGTCCACAGGTGAAAGAGAGCTTAGAGCATTATATCAGTTAACCAGGTCTCTATTCGGGAATAGATCAACACAGATGAAACCAGTAAAGGGTGGTTAAGGGAACCTAATTAATTACCAAAGAGATGCAGCGAAAAAAGGGGGCTGGTCACTTCAAAGGACTGTTGAATCTATCATTACCCTGAGAGTCACCGGGAAGTACCATCATCAGCGCGCACAGAACTGCCAGTGGACAGCGATCTTCAAACGAAAGCAGAAGTCTTGAATGTGATGAAGCAGCTGAGAGGGCAGCAGGGCCAAACAGAATTCCCCCCGAAGCACTGAAAACAGACACAGAGACTGCAGAAAATGTGCTCACCGCTATAATTGCAAAAGGTTTGGGAGGAAGGAAGGAAGAAAGGAGGGAAAGATGCTCCCCGATTGGAAGGAAAGCAAGCTTGTCAAGCTACAAAAGAAGGGCGACTTATGCCTCTACAAGAACTGGCGTGGAATAATGCTTTTCTCCACGCCAAGTAAAGTATTAAGTGGCGTCATCCTGAAGATGTTAAAAGGATGCACTGGATGCAGAAGACTGGTCTGAACGGGTGGGATTCAGGAAAAGCAAATCATCTGCTGATCAAACAGTAACTCTATGCATCATCTTCGAACAGAGAATAGAATGGCAGTCAAATTTCCACCTCAACTTCATCAACTGTGAAAAGGCTTTCGACAGAGTTGTCCGCGAAGCAGTTTGGAAACTACCTCAACACTATGGCGTACGGTCCCCATGTCTTTATCAATTTCATTTAACAGCTGGCTAAATGACAATGCCACGTGTCAGGGGATCCTCAAAGAAAAACTCAGTAAGGCGTTTGAAGTGAATACTGGAGTAAGACATGGCTGGCTGCCTACTATCACCCACGGTGATATTCCTAATTATGGTGAACTGGATCATGCGGAAGACGGCGCATGGGGAGCGAGGAGATAGGCGTAGGTTGGCCCGACAAGGCTCTAAATGATCTGGACTTTGCGGATGATTTATGTCTAATATCGCACAAACTGGAAGACTTACAGGTGAAAACCAATAAACTGGTAGGAGAAGCAGCAGCAGAGATAGGACTTCAAGTGAACATAGTGAAAACGGAGGTGATTGAAATAACTAACCAATAAGAACAACTAGCACCAATGACTGTGAGTGGAGGAAATTTGAACGAGGTCACTTCTATCACTTATCTAGGCAACATCCGTACAACTGCGGGTTGCACAGATGAGGTCAAAGCTGGACAGGATCGTAAAAGCGAAACAGACCTTCATCACCTTGAAATCAGTATGGAAATCTGCCGCACTCAGCATAAACAACAAGATTCGAATTTTGAACACCAACCACGACAGAATTCATTTAGTTATCTTTTGTAAAAAGTATTTCCAGTGGAAACAGAAATATGTTAGTGGTGTTTCTTGGTAAAAGTAGACGGTGCAAAGTACATACCATGCTTCCAGACACTGATCACCAACTGATTAAGTGTGATTTGGGCAGCCTGCATGCTGTCGCACAGTAAGACGATATCGTCTGCATACTCGAGGTCGAAAAGTCTCTCTCCAGGGACAGATCTACGACACCTTCACGCACGTCCTTCAGAGCTGACTCCAGAATGTCACCGATGGCAAAGTTAAAGAGGAATAGGGAGATTGGGTAACCGTATTTAACCCAAGTGTTGTTTAGAAACTGTGATGATTGTTGGTTGTATGCCCTCACTCTACCTGAAGTGTTTCTGTATAGAGCTTTCAGGATGTTCACAAAGTTCTCAGATACGCCCCTCTCTAGCAGACAGTTCCGGAGCACAGTTTTATCCGACGAATCGAAGGCAGCCCTAATATCTAGAAACACAACAGTTGTTAGCCTGCAATTCGTGTGGCGGTGTTCCAACGACTGACGAGGGGTGAACACATGATCAAAGCATCCACTGCCTGAAAGAAACCCAGCCTGCTCTTAGCGAATCAATCCTTCACGTGTTTTGCACAGCCTGCGAAGCGAGACAGCAGCCAATATTTTAGACGCAACTGGTAGTATACTGATACCCCTATGGTTGTCACATGTTACGTCAACTCTTTTTAAAGATGGGGACGATAATGGCTTCATTCCACATTGATAGTACATCCTAAGTACCTCATACTTTCCTGAAGCCATGACGAGAGTCTCGCCGCCACTTTTAAAGGGAGCTAGCGGGTGGATTGTCTGGGCCAGGTTCCTCATTACGTTTCAGCACAGAGACTTCCTTCTGGACCTACGCTTCGGTGGACGAGTCAGTACTGAACGACCGAGGAGCACTGGAGCTGGTGGCCAGCTAAACTGCTTCTCGAAATGCTCTACCCAGCGTTTCAGGCCTCTTTTCCTGCTGGCTATTGCATGCAGTCGGCCTCGCAGAACGTTTTACTAGTACCTTGTTTATTTCTGTCGGTGGCTCGGATTAGTTGGAACAGCTTTCGATTATTGACAGATGCAGCAGCTGACGCCATCCCACACGCATGTTCTGACTACCAGGCTTCTCAGTCATACCTAGACACTGTACAATCTTGGCAGCCTTAATAGACCGGTGTTCACTCAGGAGTTGCAAGGCACTCGCAGAAACCTAGTGTTTTTAGCGGAAAATTCTTTCAAGCTGCAAGCGGCTTCACTCGCTATTTGCATTGCACCTTGTTGATGAAGCCAATGTTCTTCTATGCTACTTGGGAGGTTGTTAGCAAGCATTGGTTGTAACTCATTCTGGTATTTCAAAGAGGCACCAGGTGCTTCCAGTTTGCTCACATCAACATTCAGATGGTGCCGCTCATAAACCCCACCGAATTGCAAGATGAGCCTGCCACATACTAACGCATGGTCGTAGTTCAGGCATGTGCTCCAGAAGGAGCGGCAGTCTTTTATGCATCCTTGCCACCGGAAACTGACAGTGATTAGATCAATCTGAGTCAAAACTTGATTCTCAGAAGGAGGGAACCAGGTAGCACTACGGCGATAGCTGTACCAGAAGTTGGTGCTGGCTAGAAATAGGTTGTTATCTGCGCAAAGCTGCAGAAGATGGTCCTTATTTAAACCCCACTGACCATCTAGACGGTTCTCCTCTGAGCTTAGCCTCCGGACCATTCAAGTCCCCAGCCAGCACTGCGATATCCCTCCGACGCACCTGTTTCGAGAGATCTCTCAGTTGGTAGTAGAACTCATCCTTAATTGCATCCGGGCTGCAATCTGTCAGTGTATAGATAGAGACAACAAATAGGCACCACCTATCTGGCCAACCACTCCTTACTTCCGTATAACTTCCCAGCCTCAAAGCATATTAACGACTGTTAACGGGGATCCAGTCGAGTAATGCAGCTTCGGCTCTAGCGCTTAGTGCGACACCGACGCCACAGGGTCCCCGGACTAGCTAAGGCGGTACATACTATTTGGACTTTCAGATGGGGAGAATAATCGAAGCACTTCCTTGGGATCTTGAATGCAGGTTTCCGAAATGCAGCAGACATCGATCGCGAGGCTTTCCAATGTTCTTACCAAACCTTTCTGTTGTCCGATTAGCATCAGTGTCCGAACATTGTAGGTGGTCAGCTTGGCCGCGGCACGCGGCTTCAAGATATCTGTGTTAGATGTTGCACTGGGGGCAACCATCTTGAAGACTACTCACTAACCTCTCGAAACAGCACAGATAGACTGGAAATTCAGACAAAGATGATAGTGAAGACGCCAAGGATAGCAAAAGTAAAACACAGGAGTCTGTGTATAAAAATAAAAATGAGGTTTGAAAAAAATTCGTCACATGAAACATCTTTAGTGTTAAAGAGCATTGTTAAGAGCGTGCAGTTAGTTTCACTGACAGTTCGTTGTTTTATTTCGTTGATTATGTGAAGACAGATACTGCCTGGGCACCCAGACTGAAGCAGGTGGTTGTCTTAGGGGACCATCCTTGAACCTTTAACTTGAAGTCTAATCCGCGAGGCAACGGAGCAGCGTCAGGAGCTACGTTCCCATGGTTGCCGGTGACCAATACAAGTTCATACGCCATTTTATCCGATTGGATTTTGGAGCACATTTACCCCATAGTAACTGCTTTTAGTTTAACCACTATCCAAACAACTACCCTGACATGGTTGGACCTGCAGTAACATAAGTCCCATCCAGTTTAGCTTTTTAGGTCACTGCGGTATGCAAGCCCGATCACCATGACAAGGTAGCATTTTTCTGCCGGTGTTTTGCAAACTGATATTATTTTGTTATTGGTTTTTATAATCTCTTTGTTTACCTTCAGTCTGAATATTTTGATGTGAAATTCAGTAACTTGAAAAATTATTCATCCAAGTCAGTTTTTGAGTTGTTTAGCCTTCCCCATTGTACATCACTCTATTATCATTAATATTTTAATTTCTTCGTATCTCTGTTCTTGTGTATCATTAGGATTTTTCACATCATACGCATCATTTCAACAAAGAATTATCTGATAGCGTTCCCTTCAATGTAGAGCAACAATCCTCTATTAAAAAATATAAATATTCTGACTATGTATGTCAGGTAGAAATACCGTCTTCTGTATCTTTTATGAGCTGTCATCATAATCATCATTATACTCATGTGATGAATAAAGTTAACAGTAATACAATGCATGTTGATTCAATTTCATCATCTGCTACATCATTACTCTTGATTGCATCACAATTGGAAGAGGTTAAACAGGAAACAAACAGTCTTCGGTCAAGAAAGTAAGTTTAAAACACATTGCTTTGTTGTTATTGAAAGCTTCAGAATACTATGCGCTGACGTCTTTGGTGGAGTAATCACTGAGCCTGTGGTTGATGATAGTTCGAATTTCCTGAAGTCTGTGTACTTCAGTGTCATGTTGGATGGTAACAAGTAGTAAAGTTTGGTTCCCTGGAATTATTATCAATTTAAAGAATCTTATCACTTAACGCAGCTAAATAAAAGTGAATCTACTTTTTAAGCTGAGTCGATTCGGGTTACCCCTGTGTTGAATTAGGCGTCGAATGACTCGCCAGTGTGCAGATCATCACCTGAATCTTATAGGCAAACAATATTGCTTAGTGTAAGGGGTATCAAGCCAATACGCATGCTACAGATTTTGCTCTGCTTCCGGATACTATTTTCAGTGATAAATTGGGTTATATGTCATGATCTGAATATTGTGGGTTTCCTATGGAAACTGTGATGAATTTCACCTCATACTGTGTACTTTGACGTGACGCGCCACTATCACCCAGAAACTACTCCTCCATTCTATATGTGAAGAATAACTGTTGAACGTATGTATTGGAATTATGTTGCTCAGTTCAGAAAAGCTTCAATCACATTATTATGTTTAGGAACATTTTGATAACCATATGTTTTTGTTTAACTTTCACTTTTAGAAATGATTTGTCATTTCGATTGTTGAATCTTCTTGCTCTTGATTATCGCGATAGTCAATCAAAACTAGGTATTGATACCTTCGAGTGTGATGAAAGATTCCACTCTGATAAGGAAGATTCACAAGTCAATGGAGATTCTCGTCATGATAGTGACACTGTTACTGTTGATAAAGTCTCTGCCAATGAAGAACAAGAGAACATTATCGAAAACAAGGAAGCTACAGCCACTTTATATGCACGCCTAATGGCTGTAGAGATGCTATTGAAGAATGCTGAATCAACTGAAGCTCAATTAGAAAAAGAATTTGGACATTTAATGACTAATCATAATGGAATAAAACCGTCGTCATCATCATTATCACCTTCGTCCACAAGAATAATAGGAACAACATCTGTTCTTGGTCCAGTTACAAACTCGAAAGAAGGACAGGATCACCAACAAAAGCTTGACGAATTATCGGTCATTAAAATGTCTTTGAATAGTGTAAGCAGTGATTCATCTATGCTTTGCACTTAGCTAATTAAATTTTATTGTCTGTTTACTTTATTTGATTTTATGAATATTTCTGTGTCTTTAGAATGCGCATATATGACTAACTAGTTGGAGTTGAAACTTTCTACAGAAAGTGCATTAGTTCAAGTTGTCACACTTTACTTTAGAGATAAAGGCGATAAAGTAATGTGTACTTATTTGTAAATATTCATACATTAATTAATACACATTGAATGAATGCATTCATGATTCAATGAGTCATACCATACCCTTTTAGTATAATCAAGTCTACAGGTAAGTGTGATAATTTTATTCTATAGGCGATTGTTATCTATGTGACAATGTCACCTTTATTAGTACCGTATATCTCGATTTGCTTCAGGAATGTAATATAAACTAGGTGGTATTGTGAGTATCTGACATAGTCCGTCTGAATTCAGGTTTTGTATTCATACGTAAATTCTACCTCAATTTTTGTTTGTCTTGCATGGGTTTAGGTACATATTCTAGTTATTACTAAGTGTAAAAACTACTTTCTAATCTAATTAGACAAAAACACAATATTAGCGCAGTGGCCAGGCGTATTGGTATGATAAAGAGGAGAATAATGATTTTGGTGTATATCACCAAGATTCTCTAGGCATTGATTCTTAGTGTCCTATGTACCCTTGCCTGGTCAGAGCCAGTGACTTCATGGTTTGACTCCCTCGTTTCGATGTGATTACCTTATCTTCAGCAGTCATATCTGAATTTTGTTAAAGTAAGACATGATTCATTTCTTGTGTAATGATTAGTAATTGTGATACAGGTTGTCATAGTTACCATTATTAAAATCTTAGGCTATAGCGGTATTCAATTTTCTGAAAAAGAGGAGACCCGGCTAAGGTGTATGTACTCAATATGGAGAGCAAGATCCGAATCTCCAAAACTACTACTGGTAAGTCAGTGCTCCTATATTGTTCAGTGATCTTGCACGTCACGAATAGCATTTCCAGCTAGCTGCAGACTGACTTTCAACAACGTCTGCCTTCTTTGGCTCTATATTGAAGATAAAATGGCTTCCGTGAACCTGTCGTTCAAAAAAATATGCAGAAGGAAATGAAGACGGATTAGACACACTCTGGGGAGACCGTTAAGTGACATTACATACATGGCCTCCCAAGAGTACCTGAATGGGAAACGAAGAGTTGGGTGTGAGTGGAATGCTGACATGGACGAGATTGTGTAGAGAGCAAATGAAAGCTTATAGGCGATCGGGGGAGCCAATTAAGAAGGAAAGACTGTAAAGAACACAGTGAAATTGAGATGTACTGGTTAAGCCCTATGTTCTACTTGGGACCCAAGGGAATAATAATGTAAGTAGAATGCAACTTATACCAGGACTCGGGGTACAGATTTAGTTCACCATACTTTATATTTATGAATATCAATTGACATATAATGACAGAAGTAAATGAAAATGGAAATGAAAGAAAAATGGGAGTGAAAATAGGACTATTATTCTAAACCACTTTTTCATTCATTGGTAAATACACATTTTTTTAATAATAATGAATATCATATAACCAATGTCTAAAATGCATCCAAACTACTAGACTTGAACTAGATTTGGACATAAATACACACTGGTTCATTCTTTTTGATTAATTTTTTGACTTTGATTTTAAGTCAAAAAGAAATTTCATTTATTCTTTTCGTTTAGATCAATGAAAATATTTGTTCTCACTGTAAAATTCCCCGTACAAGCAGCAATGGGCTAACTGGGGGATGTCGTAAACGAAATCGGAGGAAACATCGTCATGGTTATAAAGCGAGTACTACAACTCAACAGGACAATATTGGTCGAGCTTGTTATCGTACAAGACGTTGTGAGTTGACTGATGCCAACTTTTCAGAACAGTCTGATTGGAGTGTAACCGAGTCTAAAAATGATTGTTCTTCATTGACTGTATCATTGGCTTCTTAGATTGATCGGCTAAGACTGCATACTTACTTCGACGCTACTTTGTGTGTATACAGATTATATTGACGATTACAATTAACACTCCGGTTTCTTGTTTTGTTTTATGATTTACATTGATGTATTAACTTGAAGTGTGTTTTGTAAAGAGTAAACCTGTACAGCATTTATCTTTGTATTTATTCATTTATTTCCCTACTCATCCTCTATCTTGTCTGGAATATTCCTTACGAATCTGATCACAAATGCATTGCGGCCACTTACTGACACACACACACACAAACACGGAGATCTGACTCTATTTGTTATTGCTTACTCAGTATGTCCTGCCTGTTATTTTCGTTTGTGCATCCTTAATATATAATATATAAAAATCATGTCTTCCTGTATCAATACTTGATCCACCCTTCTCATCTCACTCATCCTGTCACCATTTTCTATTATTATTATTATTATTATTATTATTATTGTCACACTGATCACCTTACCTGAGAAGCGAATAAACTTTTAAAGGCGAAAAGTTAGGCCGGCATCACTGTACACAATTTTATGATTTTGCTTGACTTTTTTGTTGTTCGCATAAATATGCTTACTTGATATATGTTGAATAGGTTGTATGCTTTGGTGATTGTAAAGTTTGTTCTTGATTCTACCGAATTCTGCCTTTATGCACTGCATAGTCATTATTCAGATAACTGCTAGTTATCATTGATCATTGGATATATATATATATATATATCAAGTAGTTTTTGTCTTTTTGTTTTACTGGAAAGGATTTCAACACCAATCAGTTTAAAGTAGTATAACTTTGTGAGGGCCTATCTTTCACTGCAGCAGAGTACGAGAGAGGCACTTGAGCTGTACTTTCCATTCTATAGTCATATACACTGTTGGTGACAAAGATTGTCTAAAACTGTAACTGCAGAATGGGCTCTCTGTATTTGTGTTGATTTTTTATTATCAATTTCATAATCTGAGTTAATTCATCTACTCAGATATTTAGAATAGTTGGTGTATTACAGTTTTTTGAACAAATAAGGAGAATAAATTGAACAAGATGTGCTCTTCTCAACTGCATATAACCACATAAAAAACGTAATATCAATATACAAAATTTTCAAATACTTTGGTTGTTGATCATAAAGGTGAAGGATATTATTAATATGACGTGATTAAACAGCTTAATGGAAAGGAGTAGAAGTTAGTATGTATAAAAATGATTAAGGAATATTTTAAAATCGTGAATGAATTTCACAGACTGAGGTGTGGAGTCGATACCACACGTAAGGGTTAAATAATTTAGTTGAACAGACGTCAGAAAATAGTTGGCATAAGTTTATTGATAAAGACAAAATTGAGGATGGGATTTTGTATTGCAAAAACAAAACAGCTAGAATATCGTAAAATATATTCACTGTGGTAGGGTAAAATTAACAATGGTTTCCTTCTGGATGCACAGATTCGGTCTCAATCGTTTAATGATGAACCCGTCAGCGACACGTGGCAATCTGGATCTGTCGTGAACTTTAATTATTTCACTGCTGCGAGCTACTGCTCTGCAGAGGTCTTCAGACCTCAAGTTTCTCCATATGTACGAAGATATGTTGTCACAAATCCTTCTTCCTGTTCATCCATCTAGATTGGTGTGTGCAGTTAGATTCCTGCAGCACAATCCAAAGTTTGTTAGCGTAAACATATTCCTGAATTTTAAGTTTTGCCAGCGTCCTCACGCAGTTTAGTTTGACCAAATACTTTTCAAAGTAGAAAATGAATCTGTACTCGGTAAAAATTTCGTTAAGTCTTGGTTTGTTATTCTTAACTGTGTATTAGAGTGTAGGCTTCGTATTATCATCTATGAGACGGTGGTGTGCAATGAGTAGAGACCTTAGTCAACATCCTAGCTCTCATGCGACCTGCTTGAATCATTCGGCTTCCTAGTTTGCTCCAGAGCACAATGCGTCAAGCTTACTCAGTTATACTTTATTTTAACCATCTATTCACGTCCTTAGACAACAGTTTGTATTTACGCGCGTTTTGGAATGACTTTCAACACACCAGTTGGTCTGTTTTGAAGAGACAAACATGTCGGGGTTGGGGCATATTTCAGACAACAGAATTCTTTTGAATAATATACTTTAAATTACTACTTTACTTGAAGCTTCTATATTAGTAGTAAATAAAACGAAGCTGAAAATTTTGCACTTTATATAAACACGTTCAGAATGAAGCTATTTTCATGATATTATTATGTATCAATGTCTTCTCCGTTTTTTTTAAATTTTGGTTTCCTTAGATGACTGGTTGCAAAGTGACTTTCAACCAGGTTTTTTTTCATCAAAACGTTTCTTCGTTAGTGGATTGATTCATTGTAGTGACTGGAATGCAGTCATACATCATTTTAATTTGTCTCAAATTCTACGAAAGACACTATTTTTTTAGTACAGTCATTGGTTAAGTTAAACTCGACAGGAAGATTTGCTGAATGACTTCTGCCCTTCTCTAATACAACATTGTAGTGATTATCACACTAAATATCGTACAAGTTAACACTTGAAATTAATCTTATGCTCACTGCTGTTTGACTGCTAGCTGGAGTTGTAGTGAGAAGCCCTGACCATGGGGGTGTCTAGTAAACTGCATATCAGGAAAAATACCGACCAAACTGGCTGGTGATGGCTCTCTATATCTTGAGTCGGCAGGAGTAAGAATTTGCTTATCGGAGATTGGATTCCGTTCTATTGGCTGAGTGGTCAGCGGGCTCAGCTCGTAACCTGAAGGTCCTCGTCCCAACCCATGAGTGCGTATTTCTAAAGAGCCCCGAGCAATGAAGAAAAATGTGTCCAGTTCTTCCTGGTCTTCAATGTTTCTTTAACTGATATTGTGGTGAGTGCTACTTATAATCAGATATAAGTAGTATATCACTAAATGAATTGAGAAAACTAGCAATATGTTTTGTTTCTGGAAAACGCAATCGAGGAAAAGAACTGTGAGAAGAACGTTAAAACACTGTGCAGAATCCGACAAGCTATTGAATGTGCTGATATTCGACCAATTTGCAAATGATGTGCAAAAAAAAGACTTAGAGATTTGGTATACCGAATTTAATTGCCTACAATAGGTTTGTCCTAATAAACATTGCCTTCGAGCCTCATGGGTCTTTCCTTCGCTACAATATCAGTTCGTGATGTCACCTCTTGCTGAAGTCAGTATGTTATTACTGGTTAGAAAGTGATTTCGGGAGAAAGACTTTTTCTTCAGACGATAGTTTACTCTTCAGGTGACAACTGACAGTGTCATTATTTCTGTGTGCGCTTTTCGAAAAAAAGTAAGGTCATCCACTGAGAATTCATTCAAAAAGTTAACTGAATTCAAACAATCTCACTTTACCATGCAGAAATACACATTTCCGAAAAGCTTTTCTCTCGTAACCGATACCATTTAGAAAAATATTTTTTCTCAGTTAACAATGATCTATCTAGTACAATTTAGCAGTGAAAAATCGACGTAGTATCAGTGAATTTATACGTCTGTTGGCCTACCTGTTACTGTGAAGTACTAGTAACACCCAACAAACATAAATTTCCCTTTCCTATGGTTTCAGTTTCGCGGTACTGATATATTTTAGTTAACATATTTCACTTCTACATGATTTTGAACGTAACCGCTTATATTAAGCATTTTATCAATTACATCGGCATTTATGGTAAGGTAAAACTGTAACTCTGAAGAAACTCAAGTTTATTTAGGGGTTTACGGTCGCACTATTCAACGCTAAGATAGGAAAATGCGTCACTACGATGTTGGAAATATCTTTAACTTATAGTGTGACAGGATTATATATTGCGAATCAGTTAGCAGATGACAATCATTTTGGCTATTTACTCCTGAGCGTGTTAACTGAAGTTTGTGACTCAGGGGAGTAGCCTGGTTACCATATTCTTACACAGTTTCCTCCATGGATTAAATCAATGGTACTCAAAATCAGATGATTGGTAAATCCCCTCTTTTCTTTATAATTAGACTTTTCAGCAACATTTTCGTGTTTCTGCTCCTGATATGTTTGAGGTTTTGATAGTTGTGAAGCATCGAAACCATTCAGGTAGGACAAAAGATGATGCATTGATCACACAAGATTCGTGAGAAGGGATGATATGCTATTTTATGCTGGTTTTTATCACCATTATAACATGAACTCACCCACATTTTATTTAGCTTCCGACAAAATGCTGTGTACAGTTATGGAAGGAAATGAAGGAAGAACATCATAGAGGATTGGATCTTTGTTCATATGGTACAACACTGCGTCATATGATACACTACAGATTATTATCCTAATTGTAGATACTGTACGACGAGGAAATATTTTGCAGGTAAACACTCTGAGAATTTCTATACTGCGTTAACATACTGTCTGAATTGTAGTTTTATTATAAGTGACGTTTTTCCAGCACCGAAAGATTAGAAATTAAGTAGTTTCACCCCACCTCTCCTATTACACTTAATAAATAATTTATTTTTAGGAAAACAGAATCAGTGGTTGAATGGCATATTGTTTACTGCATATTATCTTCAGGTGATATAGGCATGGAATGAGATGTTCGGGTAAAAAGTTAGTGTAAGCTCTTACTATGCTTCCCATGAGTACCATTAATTTATTTTGATAGAATTCATAATTGAAATGAATTACTGGTTGGAGAACTGTTAAAATCAATAGGGGCGGATCGTATGACGTTATAAACGCCATAGTAGTGCACTCCAGAACTTCGCCTTGTTTACTGGCCGAGATATTAAGCTGGAAGAGGAAGGAGACCAGCAATCCCGCCCCGTAAGAAACTCTGAAGCTTAAGCTTGGAGCCATATGAATCCGTAGTATAGTGATTTCTGAGATGCATTAATTCAATCCTTACTGTCTAAATGTAGTGGAATAAATTGTGAATAATTTAATATATAGAAATCTATCTATTGACAATCCAGTATCATTGGTAAGTCGTTGATTATTAATGTATTTGTTATGAAGCTTTACACTCCTGAGAATGGTCAAGCATGAGATAAAGTGCTCACATTTTTAAAAAGTATGAAATTAGGTAGAAATGGTTTCCAGTCATTTCTTGCAGTTTACCAGACGTGTAAAGGTAAATTCGTGATGACAGTTGCTGTGAGATCAACTTTTGCATTCCGTAATTCATTTTCATATTCATTAAGTTACTAGTATAAGCTTTCGGAAATGACTATGAAGAGTAATTGAGGTGGCGACATAAACTAGTGGGTCATTTAACGAGTAAATAAATAATATCGCCCTTAACGTTATACTTAAAAACCATTACATTATTTTTTCGAAACTAGGTGTGCTGCGACTGAGTCTAAGTGAAAACACTATCGCTATCTGGGTCCCAAGTACACCCGCCTGATGCGTTCGAAAAGGAATGATGCGTGATTCCTAGCTTCCACTGCAAGCAACCATCAACCAAA